GCCTCTGCGCTCAGGTGCCCCCCCCCCCCCCGCAGCGACAAAAATGCTGTTTCAAGAGTTCATGGAAAAAGGAGAAAAAAAAAAAAAAAGCCCAAACAAACTTCCCCAGGACTCGCAGAAGGTCCCCGCAGAAAAAGCCGGTCGGCGGCGAAGTTTAAAACCGCACACGATAGGAGAGGAGGAGAAGAATGCGAGCAATGCCCAGAGCGGAAGAGTGAACTCTCTGTCTGTCTGTCTGTCTGCCTCTCTCTCTCTCGCTTTCAGTCCGTGGCACCGCCAGAGATGTGCATGAGTTTGGCTGCCGCTCTCTCAGACTGTCAGGGGGTGTTGTTGATTTCCCTTTTCCTGCTGGAGGCGTTGTCTGAACCCGGCTCTGTGGCTTTCTCTATCTTTACGCGCAGACGTGTGCACTTGGTCTGTGATCTCTCATTCCTGTCCTGCAGCTCTATATAGATTGGTTTGAGATATATATATAGGTTGGTTGGGTTTGGTTGTTTTTTTTTTTTTTTGGTTTTTTTTTTCTTTGGGTTTTTGGGGATAGTTTTTTGGTTTCGGTTTTGTGTTTTTTTTTTTTTTCCTTATTAACCTGTTTTTACTCCAACCCCTGAGTTTTCACATTTGTACCCTTCTGATTCTCTTCCCAATCCCACGGGGTTGGAGGTGAGCAAGCAGCTGTGTGGTGCTTAGCTGCTGACCAGGGTTAAACCACAGCACCAGTATATCCTTAAGGCACTTGCACTTAAAAACAGCATCAGAAAGTAGTGACAAAGTAAATTTTGGACAGCAAAAATAACCAACTTTTTCCTCAAAAAAAAAAAAAAATGAACTAATCAGCACATGAAACACTGAACTAATCAGCACATGAATTACCCATTACCATTTGTGCTAGACTATGATTTCTACAAGACATGTTGTTTGAGGGATTGGGGCGCCGGGTGGGGAATAACGCTGCAACTTTGCCGTGGCGGCCGGGTGAAGGGCGAGGGGAGCGGGGAGGACCCATAGCGGCAGCGCCGGGGTGTGAGGGGAAGGGAGGGGAGGTAGGTAGGTAGGTGGGAAGGAGAGACGTGCCGGTGGCATAAATCGCCCTTCGCTAATGCCGGGCTGCAGCGCAGAAAGTGAGACCGTCGCTGGAGCAGAGTCGCACACGCTGTTTTACTGCCCTCAGTCAGCACCGTAGTCATGCTAATTTAGACAAATCTCGCGCCGTAAAGTTCTGCTCATCTTCCTAAGGCATAGGATTGAGTTATTCGAAAGGAAACGATATTTTATGCAAGTTTGTATTAATATGCATAGTGAATGATTCGGACATAAAACCGTAGCGATGTTACGTCAGGTGGGAGAGAGCAGCTCTCTGGCGCTGCTGTCGCCCCCCCGGGCGGGCGGTACCTGCTGCAAAACAACACGAAACTTGGGACAATCTCCGCATCTTCTGTGCCGGGGCCGAGGGTGCGTGTTTCCGCAGCGGCTTCGCCGTGCAGCCCCGCAGCAGGCACCGGCGGGCGGGCCGGGGCCGCGGAGCAGCGAGCCCAGCGCGGTCCTGCCGCGGTCCCTTCTGCGGAGGCGGCGGG